GATGATGTGGACAAAATACTCATTTGCCTAATAATTCTGCACTCCCTGTATCTTTAACCAATGGCATCCTTTGTTTTAGGTGACGGAAGCAAAGGGTTTGAGCTGGCTGCTGGTTGGCATGGTAACGTGTGCAAGCGCAGACTTCTTTGTGGCAAGGCCTCAGGTGATGTTGGTGGACATCACGGAGTTGGGAACCATCAAACTGCAGCTGGAAGTGACCTGGAAGTACGAACGCAGACTTCTTACACACACACATGAAAACAAGATAAAGATCTGATTTGAAACTAACCGATGAGGTGATGACGATGATGACAACTCTGAAATGCTGGTATTTCCTCTGCTGTGATAAAGGGTGAAGTGGGAATAACCAAAATTCCAAAAAGGAAATGAGAATAATTGGATGACAGATTGAGGAATTTTAATCTGCAGCATAAAAAATATTAAAGTTTTAGCTGAACTTTTGTCCTGACCTCTCCATCACGGCTCCACTTTTTGTCCTGCTGCTGGTGTAGATATCATGTTCCATGAGACACATGAATGATAAGTGCAGCTGGTCCACGCGACCGCATCAGAAACGTTCCTTTTTTCAGTGAAAGGTGGAATGAAGAGATGACAGATTTTACTACTGGATAACAAGTCATGTTTTTTCCATTTATTTCTCAGCCAATGTAATTTCTTCCTTTCTTTCTTTTTTTTAATTTCAGACTTTTTTTTTTAAATAATTACTTTTCCAGATGCTCACAGATGTAAAACCAGAGAAAATATCAAATAGAACAAAGCAGGCAACAACAAATGATGTTACAGATTCACATCCACTCGTCCTGCTGAAGCTGTAGCTGCTGTTTTCTTCATTCTCAGCCTCAGTCTCTGCCGCACCTCTAACCTGAGCCAGCTGTTGCTGAGCAGCTGATTGAATACAGAATGAACATTTTACTCACACACACATACACAGTAACACACGCAGACGCACTCCGCTGTGCCCTTGCACCATGACAGATCACATTTCAGGCTTTAGAGGGGCCAGGTGGAGGACGTTTCACAGATCCTCCCCCTGGAGAGATGGAAAAATCACACAAAGCTGTACAAGGCTGCCAGACACACACTCACACACAAACAAAAGGCTGCTGTGGCCATACGCACACATACGCCCACTATGCACCTCTGTTAAGCTAAAAAATAAGTAACATTTCACTGCTTTCCCTTCGTTTCTCTTATGCATATAAAATGTAATAATGTGACAAAATGAGTTCAGCAAATACAAAAAGATGGAAAGAAAATGATTCACTGAAAGCTCAGATTAAGAAGAGAAACGATTTTTAGCAAGTAGAATGTTTTTTAAAATAAAAAACATTCATGCTTTATCACATCTTTTTGATTGTTAATGATTACGTTTTTGGTCAAATACAAGTCAGAATTATAGCTTTAGCATATTATCATATCAACTTGAGAAGCACTGCACTTTTTGAGGAAACCACCCACTAATAAAACAGGCCATGAAAATTACAGAAGCAGTTAGCGCCTCACTTTGTGAAATGCTTCTAAATGTGAGGAAAGGTAACCAAAAAGCCCACAACAGCATAAAACGTTGCAAAACTCTGAAAAGTAACTCATTGAACAGACTGCTAATGATCACGGCCAGTTTAATACCAAATAGATAAAAACATATGTTTATGCAGTGCATATCATACAGTTTGTTGTGCAGTGTATAACCTTCTGTGTGCTAACACCTGCAGTCCATTTGACGGCACTGAGAAGCTGAGGCCGCTGTCTGGAAACAAGCAGTCAGTGTCCAGCAGAAAGAGTTCAGTGTACAGCTGGACGGCACCGAGCACCCCCTCCTTCACTGAGAAATACTTTATTGTACGTATGTGTGCACACATATGCACGCACTCAGGGGTTTTATTAATGCAAAGCACATGTACTGGTAGCAGGATTCAGCATCAACCTTTTCATTCAGTTCTGTTTTTATTCCCTGTTTTGTTATATTGCCAAATTTGTTTATTGTGATATTACCAATGAAGTATATCCCAAGTTTTTCTTACATTTTTATGTAAATAACTCAAATTCATAGCACACTCAGACTGTTTATCCTATTACTTTTTTCAGTCTATGGTGCGTGAGCTGCGGGATCAGGAAGGTTCTCTTCCATCTCTGGTGCCCAAAAGTCATCCCAACAGAGGAGGAATGTCTCTGCTCAGCTACCTCTCCAACCCTTCAAACACCTCTATCGCATCAAGCCACAGTCCTCAGAGCCCATACACCCCGAGGTGTGACGTGTGAAGTTAAAAGGGTTCAAATGAAGGGAGCACAGTGGCTACAGAGACAATACGTGTTAGGGATATTAACTGTTTTGTATTCATCAGCTATAAAGCAGTGTTTAGTAGCATTTTTGGATTGTTGCTGTACAGAATAAAAAACCTTATTTCAGATGTAAGTAATAAGCGTAAGAAGTTAGTGCAGCCATTCTGGCTTTATTACACAGTTTTATTTGAATGTGGTGGGAATTATCCAGCATAATTATTTTAGTCAAGACTGCTTTCTGGTCAACTGTCCACAGTCTCTCAAGGGCTCACAGCTACCCTTTCAGCCCGAGTCGAGACACCAGTCTGGGAGGAAGTCGGACTCAGCTGTCGCTCGGAGAGGAAGAATCCCTGGAGATCTCAACAGAGGAGTCGGAGACAAAGAAGAGGGTGGACAAGAAGGTAGACGAGGAGAAGGAGGAATGGGGAGTTGTGTTAGAGAGTCCATCCTTACCAGAAGAAAGTAAAACAGACTCCCTTATCACCTTACAGAGGTGAGGATTCACTCAAGAGAATACTATGTTTAAATATGTTTTTATTGGTTCCCAGAAGCTAAGAATTGGTTACATGTGAAAAGCAATTCAAGGAATACAGGCCACAACTACAGGAGTGAAACAGCATGTAACTGAGATGGAGGGAAAAATGATATATAATGATTGTGAGACAACCAGAAGGTGAGGAGGAAACGGAGCAAAGGCAGGAAGTACAACAACAAGATATATCTATGCTTAAAGCTTTGTGGTAAGCAAAGTTACAATACAGGATACAATATTTAACTTACAAGGGGGAAAAAACAGCTTTTTAAAAGATGCAAAACCCCACAATTTGAGATGAATTTCTTTTTTGAGTCAATACTTTCTTTATTGATAATACTTGTTAAAGCTTCAAATGTAAAGTTAACAATGACAATGATTAACAATGACAAGAGGTACTCCTAAAAGAGCCTAAAACAGGAACCTTCCTGTTGTTTATCTGTTCGTTATCTATTCTGGTGTCATAAGAAGGGCAAAAATCCATTTTAACAATCACAGGTGAAAGTCAGAACAGAGGACGAACTATGACCGTACCAGCCCGGTAGCTTGATGCAAAGACGCCTTAAACTTGGCCAGTGGAAGAGGAACAAATAGACTAGCACAGTACTTCTGGACAGTAATAATAATGTTTTTACCTTTAATGCAGGTCGAGCACTCCAGACATCCTGAGAAAGAACACATGTGGAGAAGCAGAGCCTGAGACCCACAGCGTAGCCCCAAGTCAGGACACAGTCACTGGGCAGGTAAAGAGCCCACACTCGGGTCATAGAAACACTTTGCTGACAGTCACTTTCACACTGCAATGGTAAACGATAATTAAAAGTCAAAAAAGCAGCTGTAGCTGTTGTTTTGATGTCCCTGACCTAGCTTTCTACTTGTTCCAGAGTTCTATTTAAATGTGGGCTTGAGGGGGGTTGTTTTCACTTTTAAAAATAACCTATTAATATATCCTATCTAACAATGACTGTACTTTCAGTGTCGGTTTCAGTGATGATTTGTCACAATTGGATCTGCTGCTGTGTTTTGTAATTGTATATAAGAATGATACACGAGTGGTGGCGTGAACACTGTGGGAACCCCTGAGAAACGGCACAAAACGTTAAATGCAAAGACAAGACAATTGATTTACTGTTGTTTCGCTTTAGCAACTAATTGTAACAAATTAGAGTTAAAGATATTTCAGAGTCAGACAAATTTCGACCAGTTTTCTTAAAAGAAGACAAAGAACTGAGTGCATCTAAGTGCTTGACTGCATGTTTTTCATTGAGGTGAAAAAATGTATTTATTCAACCTTCAATAAGACATGAAGCATTTTTGTGGTCGCTTTTTGCAGTTTTATCTCATTTCATGTGGCCTTTTCATTTTTCAGCTTTTGTCATCTCCTTTCTGCTTGTCTGTGTTATTTTCCAGCTTCTCTCTTTTCTTCTCTCGCTGTCACAGCTTGTTGAAAACGTGTCCTTCTCGGTTTTGTCACCTCGTGTCTCTTTCGTCTGGTCTTCTCATTTTTAAACTCAGTTTTTCCTACTTTGTCCCAGGACTCCACAGATTGTGAGGAATACTCTGTCACAGCCTTGCCAACACCACCTTCTCAAACCCCAGCTGCACCACAAACCTCCCCTGCAGCAGCTGCTCCGAGGCTGGCTGTGAGCGGGGTCCAACGTCATGCCCAGGCGCTCAGACTGGGAGCCATTATTGCAGAGCTGGAGAAAATATTACAGGATCAGAGCTGTGCTGACAAGGAGCTGAGAGCATTGGAGCACCAGATAATGCATCTAGCCACCATACTGAAGGTTTGTATTTATACAAAAACTGTAGAAACACCTGTAAACACACATGCTGTGAGTGAACCTTCTCTTTCTTCATGTCTTACCAGAACGACCTATCACTGCTGAGAAGCTCATCATCAGAGGAGACTCTGGCTGTTGAGGAGGTGCTGGGTAGCTTTGACTTTCTGTCAAACGACCTGAACGGAGATGATGACGCCTCTTGTTTGGGAAGCCTGAGACTGAAGGACAGTGGGTGAGTTCAGAGACAGAAACTTTAGTCCGCAGCGACCTGCAAAAAGCCTGATCTATGCATACTTTCTTTTCCCATTAGCATCAGTTCTTTCCAGCAGAGCACGCTGAGGAGTCATGGAATTCTCTCTCAAGGCAGCCAGTCGGCTTCTGAGGAAGAGCTAGTCATCACTCCTCTGACCTCTGGAAACTGGGGTCTTGATCAAGCTCTGGAGACTCACCTGGATATCTGTTGCATCCTGCTGCAGGTACAGAATCTTCATTTTATTTTCAGATACGTGCTCACTTTACTTGTAATTTCATACTGAGATACACACAAGGGGTCCAACGTCTTCCCCTAAGCATTTCACATTGCTCTCTTTAACAAGTTCTTCCGAACAATGCTGTTCATGTTTTTGTAGTAAGTTTTTAGATAAATACATAAATCAACAGTAACATTGTTACAGTAAACCATGTCTCATACTCATAGTTTATTAGTACCTAAAACATGACCCACAGAAAACTGGCAAATAGAAAGTGGAATTAGTAATCAAGTTATTATATGGGGGGGTTCACTCATAAGCGACTATTTGTCATGTGGTGCAGTGTGGATAGTGGATAATTTAGCAGACCCAAATGCGGACATGTGAAGGCTGAAGTTGAATTCAAAGCGATTATTTAATTTTGAAGTTCAGAGGTTAATAAAAGTCAAAACCAATAATCCAAAGACAGTTCAAAGTCCACAATCCTTATGTAAACAAGCACAGGCTAAACAGAGCTAGAGGACACAGCTATGGGGATGACGCAACAACAAACAAAGGAAGATTGAGGTGATATATTTGCAAGAGGTGATGAGAGAGGAGGAAAGACGTGTGGGACTTCAACACAGCTGAAGACAGTAGCAAAATAAAACTGGGAAAGTAACACTTGATACAAGAAAACATCGGCGCAGAGGAGTAGGGTTAACACGGGGGGGCTGAACAAGACAGGCGAACATAGAAAGACAAACACAGACTCAAACACTGATACAAGACTGGCACAGAACAGAACACAAAAAGGGAACAAACTAAATCAAAACGTCTATAATAACTAAAACAAATACTGAATCCTCGTGACCATGACAGCATTTGCTTGTTTAGTCTGATGGCAACCACTTACACCGTAATCTGTTTCTTCCAGTGTACTGGATTACAAAATCCCTGACTCATTTATGTCAAACCTCCAACTTACTTTTCTAAATCAAACAAATGTGAACTCTGCTTCCTCAGATGATAAGAACAACCGACTTCACCCCGTCTAGAAGGGAGCTGCTGGAGGAAATGTCTCTCCAGGCTGAGGTCCTGGACAGAATCAGCTGTCTGCTGCTGGAGAAGAATGACAACATCTCTACACGAGACAGTTAGTGGAAAATCTGTAATCTAAGAACCACATCTGCCGTTAATGCATGAAACAAGGCACATTCTTTTATTCACATTATTTTCAAAGCAAATGAGTAATAAATTGAGGTTTTTTTTATTATAATTATCAATTTCACATTTTCAATAAAAACCTTGTCCAGGTTCTTACAGTGATTCTCCTTTTGTTTATCCTCAGTCCTTCCTAAGGCCCAGAGAACGAGGGGTCTGCTGTTGTTCTGGGAGGAGTGTGTGCACGACAACAGCTCTCCTTTCTGTTGCCACATCGACAGCTTCACAAAGACACTGAAGAAGCGTTACACACACAAGGTGAAGGCCAAGCAGCCCGGCCAATCAGAGAAAGGTACAAAAGCACCTCATCGCCTTAACTACAAATGCTTGAACAAGTCTCACCCCCTTTTTTGCTCAACAGTGGCCCCTATGACCATGAGTGTAAATTAAAAGACAACGGGACATCCAGTCCCGATCAAAAGTTTAAGACCTCTTGAAAAATGGCAAAAAATCATATTTTGCACAGTTGGATCTTAACAAGGTTCAAGTAGAGCTTCAACATGCAACAAGTGAGACAAAACATTTTTTTGAGCATGCAATTTATTGGAAACAACGCCAAAACTGAAACAGGCTGTTTTACAGCTGATCAAAAGTTTAGGACCACACGCCTTTAAAAGGCCAAATCTGTAAAAAAACAAAAAACAAACCGTGGCTTCGTCATTTTCTGTCAGGCAGTCACACTGTCATGACATTCTGATAGCAAAGGCAAAAAACTTTCCCTTTTTGAACGTGGTCAGATTGTTGAACTGAATAAGCAGGGACTCTCACAGTGCTCTATCACTGCTGAGGTGGGACACAGTAAGATGAGGGTTATGCCACAAAAAAGTCAATTGGATGACCCAAGAAAAATTTCACCAATACTGAGCTGGAGGAGCCAATTGGCTGTCTGTCAAGACACTGGACGAACCTTGACTCAAATGAATGCCGTTACTGGTGCCGACTGCAGCCCCATAACCATCAGACGGCATCTGAGATTGAAGGGCTTTAAAAACAAAAAACGTCCTCAAAGGTCTCGTCTCCTTGAACGCCACAGAACTGACCGTTTGGACTTTGCAAGAGAGCACCAAACACGGGACATTAAAAGGTGGAAGAAAGTTTTATTCTGTGATGAGAAAAAAAATTCAAACTTGGTCATCCTGATAGTTTCCAACGATACTGGCATGACAAACAGATCCCACCTGAGATGTTTTCTACACGCCACAGTGGAGGGGGCGCCATAATGGTCTGGGGTGCTTTTTCCTTCAGAGGAACAATGGAGCTTCAGGAGGTGCAGGGGCGTCAAACGTCCGCTGGCTATGTCCGGATGTTGAGGAGACCCTGTGTGGTAACGACTGGGTTTTCCAACAGGACAATGGTGGAGTACACAATGCCTGCAGGACAAGGGACTTCTTATAGCAGAATAACATCACTCTTTTGAACCATTCAGTGCGTTCCCCAATCTAAATCCAATTGAGAAGCTTTGGGGATGGGTAGTTTCCAAAAATGGACAACAGTTCCAGACAGTAGAGGCCCTTTTTTTCGGCTGTCTTCACCACTTGGAGAAATCTTCCCACTCACCTCATGGAAACACTTGCATCAAGCATGCCGCAATTAATTTTTGAAGTTATCAACAAAAGAGGTGGAGCTACTCATTACTGAGTTCATAACTGGGTTTACGGGGGTTTTGGAGGTGTGGTCCTAAACTTTGGATCAGCTGTAAAACAGCCTGTTTCAGTTTAAGCTTTGTTTTTGATAAATTGCATGCTCAAAAAGATGTTTTTTCTCACTCCCATTCTTCTTGTTGCATTTTGAAGCTCTACTTATAACCTTGTTAAGATCCAACCATACAAAATATGATTATTTTTTTCCATCCATCCATCCATTTTCATCCGCTTTGTCCGGGGCCGGGTCGCGGGGGCAGCAGCCTAAGCTATTTTTTTTATTTTTTTATATTTTGCAATTTTTCAAGTGGTCTCAAATTTTCGATCGGGACTGTATTTACAGACTCTCCTGAGTGGGATGATCAGGTGTCCCACTTTATGAAAGAATGCATGGCATTTTTATCTCACAGTGCCCCACACTGTAATAAAAGTCAGGCTTTTATCCAGTGGCTATAAAAAAGCAAGGAATGCCGTCATCATAGATTAAGTGCAGCTAATGTTTTACTGCTGCATATTATGAATCACTAGAAAGTGGCAAGGTTTGCAGACCTGAGAAAATATGAAGGAAATTGCCACAAATAAAAGAAAAGTTTGTCAAAAAAAGATGGGTGGATATCTACTGAAACCGATCAGCAGCTGATCCAGAAAGTTTAAAAAACTAAACAAAACTATTGTAACAGTTACGGTGAGAGAAAATGGAAAATAATTTTGGCATGAGATCATAAAAAAAGTGTGAAACAGCAGAGAAGTAAAAAATGGAAATGTAAGCCATGTGGAAATATCTCAGTAAACTTCATAACTCTTTGAGAAAGTGAGAAAAATGTTCAGGAAAATAACAACTTGAGAAAAGCACAATTTGGATACATTTGTTCAATTTGAAATTGCGCTGCTCATGTACTTTGTGTACGTTTCTGCAGTATAGACGCCTGCTTATACTTAAAATCATCTTTCTCAGCTTATATCATGAAGTCTCACTGTAGCTCAGACAATCTTCAGCGTGTTTATCCAATAATATCCAAAACTATAAAGCCAACTTAAAGGAGGATTCTAAAGAACAGTTTACTCTAATGTAATGTTGACTCAAAACCACCTTGATGTATTAATTTTTTGTGTTTTACCTCCTCTGCAGTGTTTTCTCAGCTCCTGCAGCAGGTTCAGGCGGCCTGCCGGGTGGTGCCCAGCTCTCGGTCAGTCTGCTGCCCGGAGAGAGTCACCCTCTTCCAGCTGTCAGTCTACCTGAAGCGCTGGAATTTCCAGGAGCTTGGAGAGCACATCTCCCGCCTCTCAAAAGAAGGTAAAGCTTCAATTTACAAAGCTGTCAACAGATAAATATATCACTATTATCTACCTTAACTTATTATTCGTTTAAAAGACTTTCGTGAAATAAACATATATCACAGTAAGTAATAGTAGTAGTAGCCACATTGTATTTATAACTATAATTTATAACCAAACACCGTAGGACATTAAACATGGAATATTCATTTCCATATGAACCCATTTTAATAGTTTTATATTTGAAACTTTACAGTATTTATACAGAAGTTATACATGGGAGGCATTTCCAAAGACTGTGTTTGGAGGTATCAGGAATGGGATGGTGTTATACTTCTAAGCTTCCAGAGATTCCAGCTCACTAAAGGCATCTGGACCATCTGTTAACTCTACAGCCAAATGGTCACCCCAAACAAACAGGGTGTGTTCTCTTGCACGCCTGTTTATGAGAAATATTTTGAGGTTTACATCTTGTGAGAATATTTCTTCAGTAGTGAAGAATAGTAAGCAGACCTTCAAAGGACTGTTTGAGGAAAATATGAGGAAATATTGAGTCTGCGTTAGGCGTGCATTTGTCACAGATGGAGTAAGGAGCCTGGAAATGCAGGATGTCAATAGTTTGAAGTAGTACTTGTGTTTAGTTCAGGGGGACACAAGCCTCTGTAGAGGCTCAATAAATTTCAAGAACAAACACACAGTTCCTGGTGTCAAACTATAAACATGAGCACACAGCAACTTTTCCGCCTCCCCTTTGCTCTTTCCATTCCTCCACCTCTTCTTGTTCAATCTGCTAGATTTTGCTACAGTATACAGATGTCTTCTGTTTATTTAAGTGCTAAACTGCATTTGGTTTGCATACCACTGCACTGAAGAGAAAAAAAATGCTAAAACAACAACAGCATTTGTATGCTTGGTTCATTTGGGGACAAATAACTCCTGAAATGAATCTCAGTGGGTGGAGTTTACAAGACAAAGAAAGACAAAAAGTGTGCCAGAGAGATTAGATAAAACATTTACTTTTTATGCTGCAAAAACATTACACAATGTTCTAGTATGTAATAAAATAAATAAATAAATAAAAATAAAATGCAAGCATATTCTGCTTCATGATAATATTATGCATGTTGTGAACCGGCCAGCAGTGGCCAGCAGAGAGTGGACCCAGGAAGCATGACTCAAAATCACGGCTTTATTAAAGCTGGTAAAGGGTGAAGAAAACAAAAACAATGACTGAGCTGGGTAGGAATAGGGAGCCAAAATGGACCGATGGAAGCTCCACATACTACAAGGGAGAGGCAGATGATATGTCCACAGGAGGAGAGAGTGGGAGGGCAGAGTGGGTTTAACAGAATCTGACGAGACGGGGGAGCCAAAATTGAACATCACACACCCGAGATGGGGGACTATCAAAATAAAATGGGAAGTAATGCACACAGAGACCCAGCCTAAGAAATGCAAACTTGACACAGGGACCAGAGACATGACTGAGTGGGGAGACAAAAGGATGAAACGCAGAGAGATCATAATGGGAACAGGAAGGGATAAACACAGGGACCGGGACTGAAGACATGTTTACTAGACATCCGCGGAGACGGGACACAGGGAGACCAGACAAAGACGAGGACATGACTGAGGAGACAAAAAGGGTGACAAAATGCAGAGATGAGGCTGAGACAGACTGGGCACAAAAGGAAACTAATTTGGTCAATTAAGAAACCAAGAACTATAGACAAACTTACTCAAGAACTAGAACAAAAATACAAAAAACAGAAATGGAACAAAAATACAAAAAACAAAAAACAGAAATGGAACAAAAATACTGGAACAAAGAGTCAGGACCATGACAGTGCACACAAATATGTGTAAGAATGTTAATACAGCACCAAGAGAAGGAAACAGTTAAACCAAAAATATTATTATTATAATTATTAAATGAACGGTCCTCGTTTTCCTCTCCTTTTCCTGACCGGTTTCCATAAAGGGTGAACTTTAAAACTTTTCAGCCAACAGTAATAAGTACGTTTCATAAAGATCATGAGATTTGAATGAAAGCTGCTAAATGGATGTGAGCCCCCTCACTCAGCTCACTCAGTGGTATGTTGTTAATTATTTTGTTGTTCATTATTATTCATTGGTGCATTTCAGAGTACATCCTCTCAGCCCTGAGTAGCCCCAAACGGCGGCGGGCTTTAAATAAGCTGAGGGGCCGGAAGATCACAGAGCTACTTCCACTGGGATGCACCCTGCAGACTCTCGCCTCCCTGCAGATCGACTCCAACCACAAAGTCTGCAAAGCTGCCACCAACTGCATCTCCAGAGCTGCTGGATGCAAGGCCTTCAGGAACAAGGTACATGAAAACAAGTCATCTTTTGCAGAGATTAATAATAATACTAAATTTTATTTATAGGCCCCTTTCAAGACACTCAAAGACACCTTACAAGCAATGAAATATTACAATCACAGTATGGATATAATAACAATATCAAAACTCAATACAGGAAGGAAGGGCAACATGCAGAAAATCAGAGAGATGTAGAGGTGCGAGGTTATGGAGAGACTTGAAAGTAAGAAGCAGAATTTTAAAACTAATGAGGTATTTTACAGCAAGCCAGCGAAGGAGCTCTCTGTGCATTTCCACTGGAGGAACTCGGGTTAATAAGTTCTAAGGAAATTGTTTTATAGCCCACTTAGTGGATAATTCTTTCTGAAGGATTTGAACTTTATTGATTGGACTTTGATATGACAGCTACAATGTAAATCCACATCTTAATATTAGGGAAGGATTTGGGGTCCAAAACATTGGTTTATGGCTACCAGTGTGAATATCAATAAAACAAATGACCAGCGCCTTTATCCCACGTGTGAGAGTGAGAGGTGGGGTAGACTTGGACTCGACAGCTTGTAAGGTGCTTTAGTTTATCACAGGCCTAACTGTCCCTTTTACTAGCATTGCATGAACCTTAATTTGCTGTAGTTAATATTGTCATATCGACAGTTTGTGGTGCTTGGAGCTGAAAAATTAAGCTATACTGCAGTTACTCTTATGACCACTTGAGGCTTGTTCCAAAAATGAGTCAATCCCCATTGACTTCCATGTCAAAATGTCTAACTTTACAGCATTAAAAAAAGCATGCTTACAGCCTGGTATAAAAGAACATTTTAGCCTTTGTCAGTGATTCTTCCTTTTATAGCAACATATAAAAGTTTTTTTGTTTTTTTAATAAAAAGTCTAATTTGCATAGTGATAAGGCTTAAAGTTAGGATATTGTTGCTTGTAGTGGGAGCTGTAGCCATCTCCACCTTTTAATTCCAGTCACTGAACTGGATTCCCGAAGATCTAACGTGCTGTTTGGAGCCTTTTGAATTATTTCAATTGAGTAATCTGACATATAATATGGTCTGCTTTGATGTACGACAAAGACAGATGTGCTTCTGTTATCGTTAGTGCTTTTAGTCTGTTAGAATTAACAGTTACGTGTATTGCAACCATTCAGTTTATTAATGCAGCTTGATAATTTTGCTGGCATTAACTGATAAGTTAGCATTCCACCCTCCTGTCCAGATGTGGTAACTTCTGGCTCCAAAAAACCCAACAACAACAACAAAAACATGGTGGCAGCAACATCACTAAACTAAACCAGTGGGTTATGTTACAGTGGCCACAGCCATCTTTTATATACACTGTATGAGGCCAATCCAGCAGCGTGTGTGTGTGTGTGTGTGTGTGTGTGTGTGTGTGTGTGTGTGTGTGTGTGTGTGTACTTTCTTCTTCAGGCGGTGCTTTACTACACAGAAAGCCTGAAAAGCATTGATATTAAAATCCAGCAGAGCTCCTGTTTGGCTCTCAAATGCCTCCGGGTAAGCAGAACACAACTCTACACAGTCACAGCAACACTCGGAAGTCCTGTTTTCAGAACTCTCTGGTTTTTATCAGCTAGCATAAGTGTTTGTTGGTTTGTTTGTTTGTTTTTGTTTTGTGTTCTTCTGTCAGGCGACAGAGAGTGTGGACCACATAGCAGATTTATGGAGATCAACAGATGAAGATCTGCGTAGTGCTGCCAGAGAAACTGTCCTCTCCTTTGGTACAAGCGTTATCCCTTTTCATCACAGGGTTATTTTTTTTATATACCTATATTGTATTTTTATTTCTTTTATTACTTTTTCTTTCAATCTGTCTGCAGGTAAAAAGGGATACCAGGCCTACCAGAGGATGGACCAGCTAGACACTGAGATGCAGGATGAGGCTTACCAGAACCAAGAGACTGAGATTACGATTTTATAGGAAACAGATCTGGATCAAAGAATAGGCACAAATGTTGTAATGATGCTGGCCAAGAGACTAAAACCAAGCCTATGTCAAAATGGAGAAAGTTTACAAACCTGTCAGGACGTCGCACCTTCTGGGGAAACATAATTTTCTTTTAAGAATCTGTGGTGTGTGTGCTACGAGATCTTCCTCAACAACTGCAGAGGAAGATCTCATGATGGAGACTTCAGCTTTCCCTGGATGGATCATTCACTCACTGATGTTGATTAATGACTTCTTATTTCTCCTGTATTGTTTTACTCAGAATTTGAATTTATTTTTGTTAGATATGTAGAGTTTTTCTTAACGAAGACGTCAGCTGTAGTCTGACTTTTTTCTAGTGCTGGGAGTTATTTCACCAACCAGTCGATATGACTGTCTTATTGGGACATGAAGGATAAATATAATATTATTTTACATAATCTTGCAAGTGTGTGTGTGTGTGTGTGTGTGTGTGTGTGTGTGTGTGTGTTTATAGCAATAATCAGCTACAATCTCACAGCTCTCTCTGCCTGTGAGAGCTGTGTCTTGAATTAATTTTAAACAAGAGGAGTCTACAAATCAAGTTATGTTACACTACTCATTTTTCTAATCATTTTTAAGGCTTAATTGAGAAAGAAAATCAAATATGTCTGAAAACAAATGCAATCTTCCAGGTTTTATATTCAGAATAATTCCTTTTTTATATATTTTCACATGCAAACCTGTGGACCTTTTCATTTTCACAGGAGAAGCATGACTTTTCTATCAAAATCCCAACAAGGACGGATGTTTGTTTGGGGGGGGTTTCATACTACAAATACAAATGTTTTAAATGATACCAAATTCTCTTTTATCCAATTCTTCTTTGACAAAATGGATGTTTAGACAAAATTGTTCATGTTGGTGAAGGAAAATATTTGGCCTGCTGCCTTTGTGCCATCACAGAAACAGAGACCGCTGCTGACCTCTGCTGGCTGTTCACATATACTGAGCTGGAGAGGGACCCGAGGAGACATTTGCCTGCCACAGAATAGATTTGGCTGTGGTTAGAGTGACCTAGGACCTGACTGACCAGACTGTTTGCGAGGCCGTGGGAAGAAAGATGCTGCCGACAGCAAAGCAGTTTAAGTTGTGGCATAAAATGACATTTTTCTTCAGCCATGAGAACTCTGCATCAACTTTAAGGAATCATGTTGGAAGAATCTGCTTCATGGATTGAACACAGTGTTTGTTTCTGTTGTTTTGTTGATAATAGGATGCAGAATCGTTTAGCTTCCTAAAACAAAGAAAAATCCTACAAAATCTTAAAAACTGTTTTCAGTAAGAAGCAGAGCTGCGCTTTAACCATGTTTGAATTCTGTGTGTTTTGTTTTAGCCCCCTCCCACACAACCAGATGGTGCATGATTTGCACTTCAGGAGAGTTTACACAATCAAGAGGGAAAGATTTCAAAGTCATCTTTGTACACAGATAACATACCCTCGCCCCCTCTTTTGCAAAACTCTCACAGTCTGACTGAACACCAGTTATTTGCTGGTCTTTGGTAGTTTTCCAGGTGCTGAATCTTTGAAATCAAAATGTTTTCAAAGCTGCTTTTTAAAAGGTTGAGAATGAGGAAAAATCAATGTGCTGAGAAAGCTTTGGAAACAAGCAGGAGGGCAAAGGAAGTAAGGTCAGAAGGAATAAATGTGCTCACACTAGGTGAACAAACAAGGCAACATGCTGACATTTATGACATTTGCTAAAATCATCTTAATTTATCTGTTAGCAACCATAATTTTCCCCCCAGATGCCTGAAAAGGTTAATTTAGCCATGGTCATATCAAACAATCCCTTGAATGGCAGATTTGTAAAAAATATATATACATATATATTTTTAGTAAGTTGAATAAGATAAGACACAAGACAAAGTGAAAACTTTCTGCTCGGCATAAAAATTAAGACTTGCAATTATTTGTTCCTAAAATTGGTGATTCCAGCCGTGAAACTCATCTCATTTTTTCCATCTGTGTGTCAGACTTTGGTGATTTCTTTGAACTGTGTACCCAGAGCTAACAGCAGGACATGGAAACTGAATTTCAGTTTATTTTGAGCCAGATTTATTGCACTTAAAGAATGAACTGAGGAGACTTGCCGATCTGGAGATGGCAGCGGAGCAGGAAAAACAGATTCAGTTCAAAAACTTGGTGTGGGCATCTGAGATCAATATTTAACCACAGCTGAGCAGGAAAACCTGAAGCACAGGGAGAGACGAGTTACCTCAAACCCAAAGCACAGAAAAACCACAAGACTGAAAGGTGGTTGAAGCATGGTCACGACATGAGTGACTAAACTATATCACAGCCAGTGGAGGAGATGGGAAGGATAAGGCTCAGGTGTGCAGGTTGATTAATCTGGTGGACTGTACCCACAGAGAGGAAGAAAAAGACAGAGACAAGCGAGAACAAACAGGAGCAAGCACAAAAGAAGAGCAGTACTGCATCTGTGTATAAAGGGTTACTGAGATGTATGTAAGACCTTCTGGTGCATACCATATTTACACAAGTGGAAAAAAAGTGTGCTGAGAAAGTATATGAAATATTTTAAAAAAAATTGCCCACCCTCTTTTTCAAACACTAAATGAAAAATTAAATATAAATAATATAAATTAACCTCTACAATAAAAAAAAGTTAAAAAAGTGACAATTTAAGTTCATTTCTAGAATTCTAGAAGAAATACAGCATGGCAGATATGTTCAAATAAAATAAAACTGCAATAGTAATAATTACATCATCTCCACAGATGATTTAAAAACAAATAAGGAATGGTTGGTTAGTTTTGATGTGTACAGTCATAGAGAGTAGGTCATGTATTTAGTCTGGTTTATGAACACAGAGGTCTGTAGGTCTGATTGTGAAAGATACTTATGTTGTCTGACTTTAACTTGGACTTGCTCTGCTGTTGTAAATGTAAAGGCTGCACTCTGGCCTGGGAAACATGATAAACAATATTTTTTTATGTAATAAAAGATTTCTTTGAAGATGTCTTTTCATCTTCAAGAATCAATTGTGTTTTTAAAGAAACCCAGTTTGTGGCATACAATGGAGAAACATTCACATTTTTAAATCACAAATGTTGAAAAAAAATACAGGAGCTCCAGTTTCTTTGAAGAATTATGAATTCATTGTGCATCAGTGTTTGATTTGTAAACAGGCGATACTTTCTGAGCTCTTTCAGGAGCAAGAAAACAGAAAAGGAGGTGAAAGCTGATGCTAATTGCTTTGAGGAATAGGAGCACATCCTTTGCTTTGCTTGCAGTTCAGTTGCATCATTATCATCATATGAAAACCACTTCCAGTTCTAGTTTCCCATCATTAGTCAACCTGTTTGAACCGTGTACAACAGTGCTCCATATAACATGAAACCATGCTTCCACTGGTCACACGTGTTTTTAGTAAACAGGCTATTTGCAGGGTGCACCACGACCAAAATCAATTAGCATAATACAGTCTTCCTGCAGGAAGCTACCATGAGAAGATGGTGAGCAACAACGCCCAGGTAAGCTGTGATGTTTAATCAATGATCAGTTGATACTAAGAGGCCAAACTGTACTAATTATACCTGATTCCATCACTCCGCTTCTACCAATCTGAGCTACCGATACAAGGTAGGATGGAGCCGCACCCCTGTGTTATTAATTCTGATCCTGCTATCCAAATGTCGCAGCCTGTTGCAACAGGCAACATTTTTCCAATCTTCTGTCCATTTCTGATGAATCCCTGTGAATTCAGGGTCCTGTTAATAGCTAATACCTGGTGTGGTCTTCTGCTGCTGTAGAGATGCTCTTCTGCATACCTTGATTGTAAGTGTGGTTACATGAGTTACTGTTGTCTCCCTTTCAGCTCAAAGCGGTCTGGTCATTCTCCAACATCAATGATGTGGATTGGACTAAATATTTTTGCCTCTTTGCACCATTCTCTGAAAACCGTAAAGATGGTTGAGTGGGGAAACACCAGTATATCACCAACATGTAGCTCATCCTGTCACCAACTCTGAATTACTTCACCATTCTGGTGCTGAGTTTCTTAGGAGTTCATCTTCAGCATGTCTGCATGCCCAACTGACTTGCTGCCATGTGATTGGTTGATTCAATAATTGCACTGAGCAACTGAACAGGTAGCCTGCTCAGTCGGTGTGAGTTGGAGCATGTGTGTTCCTCAAGCTCAGGAGTCTGAGGACCCTGCGCAGCATTTTAGCTGTCCTAAGCCTGCACTCTCCTGGACAGCGATATCCGATTTGTCCCTGGAATCTGCTGGAGCCCAGTTTTGGCATTACAACTACAGATAGGTCTGGATCACTTTTTTTCTCTTGGCACATGGAATCATTTTAAAACTGCACTTTATATTTAATGTGTCATCTTTGTCTAATACTTACATTTAATGTGACAAATATGCAAAAACTATTTGCAACACGATTTTCCTACAGAAACAAACAAACAAAACAAAAACAGCAAAATGCAAAGCACAACTCTTACTTGCATTTATTTTTTAATCAAAATACGTTTTTTTGTTTGACACAGAACCTCACAGTTTAACACATAAGAGGGAAAACTTTATTTAAATTAAAACCAAAGCAAATATGTTGCAGTGAACGCAATGAGCACTGCCACAGGAGGCCACACACACGCGCACACACACACACACATTCCAACAGGTACAGAGTATAAACACCTTAGCCTGTGTCTGACAGCTAAACTTAACACTTACAGCAGTGACACCTGTGGAAACTCCAATCCCCTGTGAAATTTTTAAATCAGTTCTTCAGCCTGCACTCTGTATTGCTCATTGTTGCTGGAAATGCTGACCATAGCTGTTGTGTCTCCTTGTGTATTGCCACATTTTTACACTGATCAGCATGTCATGACCACAAAGAATGCACACCCATAGCACATTACAGAAAACTTTCATTCAACTACACATCCAGATTTTTCTACCCTTTGGAAACTTTCAGCGTTTTTAACTTATTAAAAATTTGGGTGTCACCTTGACGCTTGGGGGGAAAAAACAAAACAAAAAAAAAACTTAGAGCAACTCATGCAAACTGCAAAAGAAAAAGAACAGAAACAAAAAAGATCAGATGGCAGTAGGGAAGGTCACACTGAGGCAGGACGATGAGGAGCAGCTGTAGAGCACAGCGGGTAATAACATCGTAGGTCCTCAGCTCTAGTTCACCTGTTTGAGGTGTGTTTGAGTAGAAGTGCGGCAAAGGGGGGACATATTCACAGCGTAGTTACTGATTGTCCAGTGTCTGTGTACTCGCCTTGTGGAGCATTACGTGTGCAGAGCCAAAGTGGCGACAGAGTTTGGCCATCCAGGGCTGTCAGGGGTGTGACGCTCTTGTTTTTGACTACAGTTTAACACTACCTGGCGTATAAAGTTTGTTGAGCAAGTGATCGTGGCTGCCATAGCAGTTTTCAGAGGGGTTATGTGATTTTGGCAGTTTTAAGGAGCAAAGTATTTTCAGTTTAAAAAGATGAGCGATCGGGTTTGGGGAGAAAGTGAAATCTCTTAAATCGGAACACTGAACTGGAGAGGGATTTTCGTTATGCTAGTTTACGTTTCCTTGCATCCTCTCACTTCCCTTCACCCAGAAACCTTTCCTCCTCTGCCACCATGGAGGATTTTCCATCCCACTATAAAAACCTCAGAGGTTTTGAGCAGCTTTCTCTCCCATCCTCCGTTTGGCAGTAGCTAAGACACAAGGAACAGACAAGTTAGCATAATGCAAAGCACCCACCCCTGTGACTTTAAGTTAATGTCACATGTAGTTTATACTGTATACTTTTTTTTTATTTTTCATTCATGTGCTGGAATGAAAGTTGGTCAATGTGAAATTCTTTTTCCCTCAGCATCATGTCAAGTTCATGCATGTCCTTCCCTTTTTATTTCAAGTTTGGATCCCTCGCCTTTGCTACCTGTTAGATAATAGGACACATAATGTGACCTCTGGCACCCTTTCCCATTCCTCAAATTCTTCTTTACAGCATTAAGAAAGAAAAAAGAAAAGACAGCGTTCATAACCCTCCAAGACCAGCTCTTCTTCTTTAGTTTGTCTTTGGCTGAACACTCTTGGTATTCCCCTCCAGCAATTTTCACCACTCTAAGCATGGCAGTATCTTTCTACAATAATTTCTCAGCATTGCCTTATACTCCTGCTCCCCCCACCACCACTTCCTGGTGCTGCTGCTGCTGCTGCTGGTGCTCCTCCTCTCCTAGGTCCCAACAATGGCTGGGTCGTGGGCAGCATCCGGGAGTGCAGCATCCTGGCAGTGGTAAAGGAAGCAGTTGCCCCAGCAACTGTAGCAGATGAGGAAGAGGGCAGCCAGGAAGACCAAGGCACAGATGGTGCAGGGCTTTCTCTCCAGCAGGAAGCTGAGCAGGTAGAACCCCATGAACATGGAGTGGTTGAACCACAGAGCTGGGTTCAGCGGCTTGGGGATGAGCAGCACAGGGAGCAGCCATTGAAGGCAATACATTGTCTCTTTTTGGAAGGAGGCAGAAGATGTTTTCTGTTTCAGATCTATGAATGAAGGGTCTCTGATAGGTTCAGAGTGGAGATGACAACAGCTCTTCGCTAATGTGGGAGCGTTCCTCTATCCAACAGAGCTGGGATGATGCAGAAAGATGTCAAAGCAGCCAGATGTTACCATCAGATCATCCCTGCACAGGACGGTGAAAAGAAAAGTTAGAAGACTCATAATCTGGGCAAACATATCTAAGCTTTAAAGTTTTATTTAATTCACACTTTTTATAGATGCTGTTTTGGAACTATTTGTTGTTTTGTGTCAATAAATAATTCAGGAGATATGAAGAAAAATAAAGTGTTTTCCCTACATAAAACATGACAACAGTTGAGTTTCCTTCTCACCTCCTCTTCAAGCCAGCTCTTGAATGGTAATATTATTAGAACCACTTCTTTAGTAATATTCACATGGCTGCATGTTTGGCAAATATTAAACGTGGGTACACAAACACTCCAAGACACAAGTTAAAGTTAAATTAGAAAAACATAACATTCAAAACAGCTAACATGCAAACTGGGGTGCAAAACACCAGGCAGGTAAGTGTAGCACTAATGTGAGGAGTGAGACTTGCCTCACTCAAAATCCTAATCAGTGACCCAGTACTTGTTAAAGCCTCCCGAAAGTAAACATTTACTCAACTATTAGTGTGCCAACTTCCTTAAAGGGCCTAACACACCGAGATCAGCTGCTCGGCTAATGTTAACTACCTGCGTGGTTATCTTTAGGCCTCCAAGCACATTAACAAAACTTACTGCGCCTTATTTAATGTGGAAAAAAATAATCAACGTGCGCTGGGTTTAACACAACAGTGGCTGCTTTCTTTCAATAACTAAACCAGCTGCCACTAGCTGACTGTCAGGGACAGCTGCTCGCTCTCCGACTGCCACATGACCACCTAACTTTAAAATATACCTACGACGTTATGAATGTCGCTGCTGTTAACCCTCTGCTTAAATGCCTGCTGCTTTGATTAACATTAGTTCAATTCAAGGGCAGCTCTTACGCTTTGCTACCTAGTTAGCCTTCGTGTTAATAGAAGAAATTTAGTTTTCATACAGTGATCCTCTCCGGGTAAGACTTCTCTAGAGTCTAGAAAGGGCAAATCAGACTATTTGAAAAACAATAATGGACCAATTTAACGTTGCCAGGCAAATCTGGGAGAAAAAGCGTAGACCACAACATGGCTAAATATTCTTGCTTTTGATACACTGTACGTGCAGCGAGTTGTTTTTATTAGAATGTAATTAAATTGATTTATCCGGCTAACCTGTTCCGCGAAAACACATTGCAGTGGGCGGTAACGTTCGTTAGCTAAAAGCTGCTTTTTAAACAATCATTAAAAAATGAAAAAGTCCGATATGTTTGTACCAAAAAAAGACAATATTTGAGTCTTGGTGTAGACACCCTGTAA